GGGAGCCTATTCCAGTGCTTATATTATATTTTGATCTAGTAAATAGGGTGAGATAACTCAGTATTTCTAACAGATAAAATGAAGCTACTGCACTGAAAAACATTAAAAAAAAAAAAAAAACAACCACAAAACTACCTGTAACTTAAATTACACATCTTAAGTGAACTCTGCAGACATCTACTGTCCTGTGTGACCCTTTGCTGGCAGTAAGCGTATGCTTTTTGTTAAGAGATGGTTTCATGATCAAGCTAATGAACACTTCATGTCTGCTACTCCAAATCTATGGGCTTCAGAAGTTTATTGTCCTACATTTGTCAGTTGGTTACTTGCAACATTATCCATAAAGCAATCTTTCTTAAATACAAACAGATTTATTTGGTACTTTGAAACAAATGAAGAAAAATCTCAAAATGTTGGGAGTTGAATATATATATATATAATAATACAAATGCATGTATATATGTACATTAAAAAAAGGAAAAAAACAGCATACTTCTCCATTCTCAAACTGTGAGTATGGTTTCTTTCTTCGTCATATCTGTCTACTGTTTACTGCTGATGTGTGAAATGAGATTCAGATGAATCAGCTGGCCTTCTCCTTCCTTTATTGGAAACACACTTCTGCAGTCAAAACTACATCTTATGATGCATCTCTCCAGGTTACCAGTATCTGCCTTTTTTCCATTCTCTCATAGAAAACAATAGCTGAGAGTTTTAGAAATCATCATCTTTTACTGCTCCCCTTCCTAATTATATACATTATCTCAATGTTTACTTAATAACTGAAGTCTTGGAACCTATATCTAGATAAATTGAAGATTGAATCTAAGCAAGCATTTAGCTTTATAAGTGAAATTGTCCAAGACAAGCAGAGAAGGAAAATGAGTCTAGGCACAAAGTTACAAAGATTTAAGTGTGGGATAACCTGAAGCTCTGTGAATAGTCCCATTGACTTCAGAAGGATTACTTATAGTCTGTGAAGTTAAGCAATCTGCGTGACTGCAAAATTGAAACCTTAGATAGACTGTAATTGGATTTTGAAAAAGCTTCAGAAATTGAATACACAGCTATAAATCACGCATCCTCTAAGAGTTATAAATCACCCAAAAGGATGCTTGAAATATAATTATTTTTCTTAGTAGCTCAGCTGTATACAAACTAATGAATAGAATAAGATTAATTTTAAATTATCACAGATCATTAAATGTAAGGTCTCTGAAGCACATTGTATAAGTCACAATATATGAATATTGAAGGCACCCTTTTATTTACTTTCTTGTAAACTAAGATAAGTGCATTACACATGTGACAGAGAGAAGGGAAGCTTATAAAAAATTAAGTTCAGGTGAAGATCAAAGATATGCTTGATAATTAGGATAGGATCAGTATAAAATGAGTACGTTTATTTCCATTGCATCATGCAGATGTTTAGAGAGGACGTACTTTATTTTAATTAGCTGTTTCTTTCTTTGGCTTTCCAGGCCAAAGACTCCTGATAAGGAAAAAAAATTGTAGCCGTTGGTCAAACTGCTTGTAACAAATCTCATTTTAAATTGAAGCTATTTATTCAGAAACCAATCTACAACTGCAGCAGTAATCAATGTGTTTTCCCTTGGAGTAGAACTGTTTCCGTGCTACCAGAGGACTGTTGTTAATTGCCTGTAACTAAATGATTGCTGTGCTTCTGAACATAGCTCCTTGGCGCTCACTCGTTTGTTGTGTTTAACAGAATGCTTGTCCCCCTAAGAGTTGGCCAAGTAATTTTCCTCTACTACTTTCTACATTCAGGCTCCTTAAGGAGGGCAAGGTCTGTAATTTGAGCAACGTAACACAGAGGTTAAATGGGTTTTAAAAGGTTTGCTCTTTTTGTCTCTCCCCTCTGATGTGGTATTGTGCCACAGAAGATGCACAGAAGAAACTGAACCTTTTTAGCATCCATCCACTACGAGAAACCTACGTTTAAGCAGGAAAAGCAGATCAAAGGCAGTGAAGTGCCTGCTGTAGCAGTCATACTTAAATTGCAAAGCTAAAGACAGAATAAGGCAGCACCAAAAAAAATCATATTATTACAAAGGCAGCCTCACACTCTGTCCTTGCTATGACATGTTTACTACGCTCTTGCTCTCATGCACATCACCGTCACAAGGCACCATTCAGGAATAACCTCTCCCAGGTAGGAGTCCAGGTACTCCTTCCCACTTCACACAAGGAAATCCAAGACACAGGAAGGTGAAATGATGGCAGCCATCCGAGGGGCCAACACTAATGGCTGTACTGAGCCTGCTGCTTCTGACACCTTCAATTCCGAGTAGCATACAGTGATGCTCTTCAAAAAAATCCTGACGTATACAGCCAGCTTCCCTGTACAGTTTAGCAACCTGGGGGAAACACTAGCTCAAGGCTTGAAAGCACACAGTTGCATGCAGCACTGTGCCCAGGCTAATCTGTGCTGCTCTTCACAGCGCCATGCAGATGGAGCTGTACCAGCTTTGGGCCTTTAGGGGCTGGCTTAGGCATTGGCACAGTGAGATGTGAGAATACAGCAGACTGCTGGGCTAATTACTGTGTCTCTGCCTCAGGGCCTGATAAACATCACTCGAGACAGAGGGTGAGGATGTGCTGATAAACATAGCTTAGCATGGATGAAAATACCAGCTTTCTGTGCACAAAGAGTATAGCAAGAAACTGACTTTGCAAACAAATCTGTTTAAGAAAGACCCTTCTTATCCTTCTTGTGCTCATCAATGACTATGGTGGCGGCAGATAAAAAGGAAATTTCTAGAAACTTTTTAGGGTGAATTGAGAAGTTTGTTTCATGCTTGCTTATCTAGCAGGTTTAGGGTAGGCTCATCTGTGTTCAGATTATCAAAGAAAATGTACCAGAATAGTCTTGAATTATTTTATGGGTAAAAAAGCACCTGGGAGGGCCTCTCTTATAGCAAAACGGATGCGGTCCATTTATTTGATTTCATGCACAGGGTTAGAGAATGAGTAACTACTTGCAGTTATTTTTTTCATCTAATCTCAAAATCATTAATTTAGCAAAAACTTCTGTTTTCCAGCTGTAAAGTTTCCCCTCTCTTTCAGTGAGTCATAACAGCAGGCACATAAAGAGAGTATTTGGTACCTAGCAACCCAACACATTAAAAACGCTTTCTCCTGGTCCCTACTGAACAGCTGCAACACCTGTAGTACAAAATGATAAACAGACTGTAGTAAGCCCTGAGTAATTTCCATTTCCATTGATATTGTAAAATACTGTATTACTTGCCTGTGCAAACAATTTTTTTGTTGGCTGTTTTTAATAACATTCCCCTCTCTGGACCAGAAGAGTATTAAAAATTATTTAACACAAAGGAGTTTCCAGCACAGTTTTGGAAAGAATGACACAGGACATAAATACTCTTTTATTTTATTTTATTATACTTTTAGAGTCTTCTAGAGAGCAATGAAATCTTCTTACAGTCACTTCAAAATAATAAAAAAGTGTGTGATTCTCAATAGATGTAGTCAAAATAAATGGAATTCTCACATTTTTCTATAAGCTTTTATTTCTCTAATTGAATCATATTGTGTCAAGTCTACATAACCACTAAATAAATAAATAAATAAATAAATAAATAAATAAATAAATATTAAACCCGTTAGTTGGTTACATCAGGGCTATAGTGCTTTGTTCAGACAGATGCTGCCCACTGGAAGAGGATGGTGTGAAACCAACATGGAGCTGAGCTGAAGCAAAACTGTATGACTTGGATTTCCAAGATTTGATTTCTTGGCATTCCATAGCACTGAGCAGTGTTGGAAAAATACTGCAAGATTGTAAGGTTGTAAGAGATGCCATTTATTACTTAGTTCATATTACAACATTGCTAACAACATTCCCACACTTTTTGTTTGTTGCCAGTTGTCAGTTTCCTATTGATAACCAAAGTAAAAACAAAATGGATGTCATGAAGCTGTTTAAGTTTCCTTGAGCATGCCATGGTTTAGACGGGAAGAATTGAAGGTGATGCATTACTTATTCCCTGATAAGTGACTCTACTGAAGAGGTTACTGTTAGATGTGGCTACATTTGACCAGAGTCCTCATCCTTAGGAACAGAGCTACATGGCATGATCTCAGTCATGTCAATCTCCAGCCCAGAGTGCAGCAAAGGGACTGGGGGTGCCCATATTCTGAATGATGATGTCAGAACTGACAAATTGGGATGATTTGAAATGACTAAATGTAAACCAACCCTGCTTGTGGAAAGAGAAGAGAATAAAGATGAGTTGTAGACCATTGGGAAACTGTGTCAAAGCTTTTAGCAGATATCTGAGATGTGTGGTTTTGGATTTCCTAGGATAATTTATCTTCACATCCCTCAAGCTGTTTTTCTCTTTGTTTTCTGTTTATTTGTTTGCTTGTTTTTCTTTTGGGAAAAAAAAAAAAAAAATCCCTAGTTTGATCTTAGCCAGTAGACTGAAATTCATCCAAAACCTGAGCTTTTTCTTATTTATGTGTGGAGTAAGGGAGGGGATATGTTTTCATTATGCCGTGCCCTGCTCACTCCCCCTCCAAAAAAGAAATTCACTTCTGCTTTCACTGTAAATGGCACGTCAATGTTTATGTTCATAAAATGAATTGTAGTGTATCTGCAGGGAGAGAGATGGACGAGGGTTATCAAATCTCTCTTGTATGTATGCATACTTGCATACATATTCCAGCATCTGTTGTTTTACATAAGAGCAGTTTAGATACTGCACCAAAGGAAAAATTATGTTAATAAAGAAAACACATTCCTAGGTATTTTTTTTCCACAGGATCTTCAAATTTAAAAATGCAATACAATACAATACAATACAATACAACACAATACAACACAATACAATACAATACAATACAATACAATAAAATATCACTCATTTTATATTAGTAATTAACTTAAATATGAAGTCTGCTGTTAATCTTTTCTGTTTTGGAATGTGGCTATTATTGTATTTTGTAATTCTTTGCAGAGCTGATGTATACAGTTGAGCTTGCTGGTGGGCTTGGTGCTATTCTGCTGCTGCTTGTTTGTTTAGTGACTATCTACAAGTGTTACAAGATAGAGATTATGCTCTTCTACAGGAATCATTTTGGAGCTGAAGAACTAGATGGAGGTAAGGCAGCTTTTCAGTATGTTTCTTACCTTCTAAATATGCCTATTTCTCTCCATTAAGACCCAAATTTAATTTCAGTTCAAGATGTGTTAACAACTGCAATTTTTATTTCCCACTGCATTAGACACTGACTTTAATACACATTCCTCATACAGCACATTAGCAGCAATGACTATTCAGCTGGTGTTTGTGCTGCCTTCTGGCTCTCAAGGTGACACGTGTGTCTTCTAGATCCATGCTTCCATGCTCCCAACACCACATGAAAGTTACCAACACTGAGGCTTTCAAGGCTGTTCCCTTTTGTCAGTGCTGAAAGCCAGCTTCACCTCCTCTTAAGCATGGAAGTGTCCTCAGTAATTGTATTTCCCTGATAGGCAGAGGTTGAACAGAATACTGCTTGTTTAAATGGATCAGTTTCAATAAACTGTGCTGAGTGTTTGGGAGCACACCCAACAGTCCATTTTCCTGAGTTCATTTACTTAATCACTTGGAGATTGGCTAATGGTCATTAATGCTGTTTTGTGGTTCAAGGAAAGCCAGCTTTAACAAAAGTAGTCTGCAGTGTATGCTCTGGACTGTGTCAAATGTATACATGTGTTTTCTTCTGTTTTTAAGAAACAAAGAAGGTTTTCTCTGCACACTAATAAAACTGCTGCTGGACAGCAAACCCAGTTGAGCTTCAGGTTCTGATTAATTAGATTTGGTTTCTTGGGTCAGAGTTCTTGATGTTTTGTGCTACCGCTACATCTTTGATGACAGAACCTTCCTTTTTACTGAAATACTGCTGAAAGTTATATTACGGTTCAAGGTAATAGCCTGTGGATAGCATCTATATGTGACATACTTTAAGAAATAGATACTGCACTGGCCAGATCTGTCACTGATACAGGATGAGAGTGGCAGCAAAATTAAAGGTCTCTGTGGAAGGGAAAGCCTTCCATATTAAGATCAATGGGGAATTACCCATTTTTGCCTCCAATCTAAAAATGCATGAGAATTCAAAATAAAAAATGCTCAGAACAACAAAATGCTGCAGAACATTAGAACATTTTGTATCCTACTAGACTGACGAAAAGGATGTATATTAGTGCAACTCAGTGGGGAAAAAATAATCACAACAGGTTACTTATTTTACAGAAGAGGAAACTGTGGCCCATGACTATGATTCATGAAGTATTTTGACAGACTCTACTTTTTTTCAGAAGCCAAGATCCTCCTCATTCAAAATGCAACCCACGGTTCATAGAAGCATGCTTACTTGCATGTATGAATTCAATAATAATCATATCATATGATGAAAGAAGAAACATCTGGTTTAGTAATTATTTAAATAGTTGCAATTTAATGTTTTTTCTCTGTTGCAGTAATTCTTATTTTTACAGCTGTCAATTATTGTTACTTCAAATCTCTCCAATTAATTTGCAGACTTACTCTTAGCAAGTGTTACGAACCTGTCTCTCTCTCCTCTTACCCTTTACATCAGTGCCCTAGGGATGGAAATGCTTTAATCATCCATTTTATGTAACAAAATTTTAGTTTTTAAACGGTACTGTTCTGGAATACAAGAGAAAGAAAAATAACATCAGTTTGTTTTACTGAGCCAATTTAATTTAATTTACAGGATAAAGCTTAGATTCTCCTTACACGCTCAATACTGATGCATTGTTTGAATGCTTAATTGAAGTAACACACCAGGAGGAATACTACTTGCAGATTCAAATAACAGAATACTGCAGCTTCTACCGTACTCAGTATAGTATATATACTAGCTACATGGATAAAACCTACTATGAGAACGAAGATACTGCAGCTGTACTTCTGCTCTGTCTCTCTCACCTGTGCTCTTGCAGAATTAAGAAGATGGAGAGAAAATGCCCCAAAGGAGGCCAAACCACGGATTGTGTAGAGATAAATTGCAGACATAAATTCAGGTCCTTTCCCTTGGCTTCGCCTCTTACTGACAGACACAAAATGCTGAACTGTAAAATCTTTTTCTGACCTGAACTCCTGCAGCGCCACAGCCAAGCGCCTACATGCTATTCATCATTTACATCATGAGCTGGCATACTTCAGAATAGCACGTAGATAAGCAAACATCAAAATGGCACAGGCTTTTTGTGTTCACTGTGGTGTATCCAGAGAGAATTTGAAACACTGTAGAAGTGAAATCCAATTGAAATTTTCCTTTAAAAATTGTTATCAAATGCAGTGCTTCATTTCTAAACAAGGCTTTCAGGATGTTGAATCTCATCACAGTTCCTCTTTCTTTTCCTTAGAAACTAGTTTTTCTCATGCATATTTCTGTGGGAGGCATGGGAATTCTGAGAAATAGTTGAAAACAAAGTATTTAACCATCGAAACTGAATTTATTACTTTCTCTGAGAGTGATGGAGAGTAAACAAGCATTCTCAGATACCGATTCCTCATTTCCCTAACTTGCATCCTGGAATTTCCCATTTTCTCTCATCTCAGTGACTCTGTTTTCCTCTTTTTCTCTCTCCAGCAAACACTTCAGCTCAGCCTTGTCTTCTGGGAAAGCCCTCTTTTTTCCCTCAGTTAACTCCCTTTTCTACTCAAGTAAAACATACTCAAATAAACACTGTGTTCTGGAGTTTGGTTAGTGGACTTCATCACTAATGTCTGACATATCTCCCTGGAAAATGGAGCACTGGCAAAGCTCTCTGACCTATGGCAAAGCAACTTTCCCACATGAAGTTGCTTGGCATGGCCATGCCTCTCAGAGAGACAGCTCATCCCTATCAGTGAAGTAGTCTGAAATCCCCAAACCTGTTTGACCAGCAAATCAATTTAAGATCTGACAGAATACATAATGAACATGATACCCTGTTCAATAATACTCTGAAAACAACAAAATTTTCAGAAATAGGTGTTCAGTGGGAACTTCTGAGGGCTCGTCATTGTTAAATGGCAGGCAGGCATCCTTTCTGAGTTTAAGACTCTAAATTTAGAAGTTTATTTTAAAAAGTCTTGTCTGTAAAATGTACTTCAAGTATTAGCATGTTATATTGAAAACTGCTTCAAGAAGTGATGAATTCTTATGTTTTATTGTACATAGAGCCCTTACATTACAGTTTCATACCATATTCATTCTCTGATGTTTTAGCTGTTATTATTTTCATATTTTTTTTTCCCATAGATCTACTTTGCTGCCTTTCTCAGTTTCAAATGAACTTAATAAACGAAGTGTTATATTTTAAGTAAGAGTGAAGAGAAAAAAAAATGCAAGAAAACATTTGTAATGACTCTGGATCAAGATACACCCTAACTTCTCACACTCTCTGATCTTAAAAGCTTTTTGATATCAGAGGAGATATAGCACTGTATAGAAATTCTCTCTTTGTTTACGAGAGACGTGAAACCCAGGCCTCCTAATATCTATGGAAATTTTCCCAGGGTTTTACCCAGGACAACTTCCTCCTTTGAGAGATTGTTTCTGCCCATGAAATCATGCAGGGATCAGTCTCGAACCAGGACAGCCACCAAGACAAGCAACAAGGGGAAAAGGGGAGAAAAGGGGCTCAGACCAGAAGCACCCTTTCTGATGCTGCCTTAAAGTGTCCAGGAGACTCCAATTCACCAAAATTTCTATTTTGAAATTTTTCTTGCTATTTCAAGACATGAGAGTTTTCAGTGGATGTTCAGACATCCAAATTCTAGCCTTAAGGTATATGAGAATAAATCCAGAAGGTTAAGAAGTTAGGCTGAAAATTACTTGACATGGTCAGATGGGCAAAATTACTCAAAATCATGAATTTATATGCGTGTTTATATTTCAGGTTCCAATTTCAGAGAAAAGAGCACACAACACATTTATGAGTAGAAAATGCCTGCAGGCCCTGGACACTGCCATTTTGGGATACATTAGTAACCACTTAAACTGATTAAAGTTTTTGTGTGAAGGAATAAATAAGCACTATCATCAGAAAGAAGAAATTTTGCATGAAGAGGCTGACATTAAAATTGACAAGAACAGAATCGTTTAGAAATTAGAAAGAAGATTGAACAAATGTGCTGTGAACACAGGTCTTTAATAAAAATTCATAAATGTTTCTTGTCACAATCAGTCTGACTAGAAGCGCAGTTTGAGGGTGATGAACAATAACAACAAAAATAAAAATATTCAGCTGATAACTAGAAAGACAGACCTTTGTCTGACAGTTGATTCAACAACCTTCAAAATGTCTCTCAGTGCCTTTAATTCCCACAACAGTTCCTACAGTGTTGGACAGGGCTCTCTCTATGATGTCTTTCACGCTATTCTCAAATTTCCTTACAAAGGAAACATTGGTGAACAGGGGGACTGAGGTCTCAGACTACAAATGGCCAGGCTTGATGCGTGGGAATCAAGGCCCTGGAGTTTCTCTGATTTCACTTTTTTTGTTTCCTTTTTTATTTTAATTTATTTTTTTTAGAAGTGTTCCTAAGATTGTTGAGAAGTGTCATTTGTAAGCTCTTTAAATTTAAGAAATCTTCCTTGGATTCAGTATATGACAGCTGTAGTGGTTGTTTCTGGGCTGAGAGTGATGCACTCTATTAAAAATGAGTTTTGTTGTTTTCTGAGAGGAAGCAAATCAATTCTCATTTAGGAAATTGATAAAATGGTTTCTGCCTTGAAATCTCTGTTGCATCTGGGACTCCTTAAGTAGTTGTGATTTTCATCTTTACCATTATATAGCAGCAAAAGACTTTCAGGGCTTATGGACCTATGGGATTGCCTAAAAAAATTCCTTATTCACTGCACAAATTAAGATGAGGTAAAACACACTTCTCTGTGATTTCCTGTGTTTCACCCCAGTAAACTTCTTGTGAAGCCAAGAAAGAAAATGCTTTGAGATTGTTAATGCTTCAGATGCTGACTTTCAAGTATAGCTTTTTTCAGTGGCCTAGGCACCTGCTAAACTGCTTGTGTTGATGATCACACTATGTAGGTACAGCTATACTGAAATTACTGCTGAAGTTAGTGACTTTGCAATTACAAA